ATTGTTTAAAAACTGTTTCTTTTATTATTCTTTGATAAAAATAGATAAAACTTAATTTTTAAGTAAATTTCTTACTATTTCTAACGCATCAAAGATGTCTGCTAGTACAACATGTGTGATTACAAATCAATATTATCATTCTCGGCTCACTTTCTGCTAATTCTTATATTAGAGATCGAAAAATATAACATGTTTTGTGCTTCAATCATCAATCAATGCAGGTAAGAGATTTTATGTCTAGTACTTGGTATCATTGGTTAAATTAGATATGTCTGAAGCAGAGATGTCCACAGGGCAGGGCAGGACAGGGCTGCCCTGCTAATTATACATGTGGACCATGAATTCATTAAAACAGTCTTTTTTGCTTAAAAAATATTCAAAAATACTAAAAAAAACGCGATTTTACCGTCGAATAACCTCTAATGCTGTTTAATACCCTTAGTAATAGTTTCTCTTCCTTCATAACAACGGAATTTTATTGCTGTTTCAGCATTTTTAGACGTTGTCTGTAATCTATTGTACTAAACAGTTGATTTAAAGGATCTTTGAAGATAACATAAATTTTAGATGAAGTCGTAGTGATCTTCAGAAGAAGTGATAGAATTTTCCTGAGATCAAAGAGCAAACGACTAGAAAAATAATAAATCCTTGTGATAGACAAGTTTTGACTCGTTTCTACATGTATTTAGTTAGGTCTTCTTCTCTTTACTACTCTAAAAATAGATCCCTGTTCAGAAAAAACTTATTTCTCATTTGAATCAAATTATTTTGTACAAAAATCAAAATGATAATACTAATCTTTAATCAATCGTCATTTTTCCCGAACGCTGATGCCGTAAGTAGTCGAATAAATAACTGTACTTCCCAAATAAATTATTAGACAACCGAACTGGAAGTATTATGTTGATTTCAAACCTAATGCTAGGTAATCCGTTTTGCCCCATAAAGTTGTTTATCGGACTTCATCTCGAATCAAGTCATACTGGAAATGAGGAACAATCGAAAATGAATAACACTAATCCTTTCATTTTAGTTTTTTATGAGATAAATTTAATAAAACTGGTAATATTCTTTTGCTAAGTTTATTTTTAGATATATGTATCGAATGCTATCCTATTTATCAGCTCTACATATGTTGAATTTTATCGATTATATTGCGCAAGATGTTAACTATATAGGCATAGTTATATAATGTGTTCGCCCTGCAGGGCAAAAAAAGTGCCCTGTGGANGAACTGGAAGTATTATGTTGATTTCAAACCTAATGCTAGGTAATCCGTTTTGCCCCATAAAGTTGTTTATCGGACTCCATCTCGAATCAAGTCATACTGGAAATGAGGAACAATCGAAAATGAATAACACTAATCCTTTCATTTTAGTTTTTTATGAGATAAATTTAATAAAACTGGTAATATTCTTTTGCTAAGTTTATTTTTAGATATATGTATCGAATGCTATCCTATTTATCAGCTCTACATATGTTGAATTTTATCGATTATATTGCGCAAGATGTTAACTATATAGGCATAGTTATATAATGTGTTCGCCCTGCAGGGCAAAAAAAGTGCCCTGTGGACATCTCTGATATATAAAAATTGCCAACGATCCATACATGGGAAACGCGAATTTCGCCGTACTGACTTTCGCCATGGACTTTCACAACCATTTATTTTCCTTAAAAATAGTTTCTACACTCCTTAACACGTTTAGCGCGCACACACGGCACCAGGTGTGCGTGAGGGCTCTGTCTGAATTGAGTAAATATCTTTTTCACTAATGTTTTAACTGTACGGCGAAATTCATGCTACCCGATTCAGATGGTAATCTTCGAATTGAGTATCACCGTATTGACTATTATTAGAACAAGTTATTCTCATTGACGACTAGCAACGAATTTCCAAAATATCCTACACTAGCGAAAATTGTGAAAAATACTGTTATTCTTTCTCATGGAAATGCTGACGTCGAATGAGGCTTTAGTGTCAATGAAAATCTTGTCACAGAAAATAGAACATTATTTTCGCTGTCTTCTATTAGCGGCTTCCGTTTGGTGTAGGATGCAATCAAATTCTTTTCGTTTAGGTTCATCCCATCGCGTGCGAATTAAAATTGATATGATTCGTGCCGTACAAAAAAGTCAAATCAGTGTATAATCAAGAGCAATTAACACTGAAAGCTACCGGTGACCGTTTGAGGAAAGAGAATAAAACAAATAGTAATATGCACGACGAAATGAGAAAATGACTGATCAAGAGCAGAACTTATTAGCCAAGCAAAAGAAGTTGCAAGATGAATAAAAGAAGGCATTGTTATTGGTGAGTGAATGTCGATTACGGCTTGATGATGCTCTAAAAAAGATTGATGTGTTTGATGTACAGGCAGCAAACACTTTGATTGGAGCTGGTGATGAGCAGATAAAGTCAATAGCTGAAGAACTAGTTAAGGTAACGAGCGAACTAATGAATCTTCAAAAACAAAAGGAAAAACACGTTGTCTCATGGACTATTGTATGAAAAAAAAAGAAACAGAAAACAATGATGACATTGGATGATTGTTTTTTGCGTATGAATACTTTTATTGTTATTTTCTTTATTTATTGTACTTGGTTATTATGATACTTCGTATTTGTTGCATTTCTCATTTTCGTTTTTGGTTTGCGTTATATGAACAGCAGCGACGAAATAAAAGCGCATATGAACTATCGAAGATTGTTTTAATTATTCATTCGTTTTGTTAAACACTCAGGGCGTGGATCATCCTGTGTTATCTTACATATATCGTTCTACAGGAAACGCTTTCCACTATGTCGAGTATCGAAAACAAAAAAATTTTATTTTTTTTCCTCTTTTTTTTCCTACTCATTTATATCAGATTAGTCTCATACCGTATGATACAGCAAGGATCATTTTCCATTTTTATCTGTAATTGTGGCAATCTTTTCTCATCAGATAGATCAGGACAAAAGCAAGAACTAATTTATGCGTTATTTCTCATCCGATCATCAATTGATAGTACAGGTATCTCTATGTTGTTTTCTATACCTAGTACAGGTAAGACCATTCATTGATTGTATGGGTAAGCTTCTTTATTCAGTACATCTACGTGTTCTTGCGTGAGCATTGTCTCTTGTGATAAATGAAGAGAAGAACAAGAACTAAGTTGTGCGTTATTTCTCATTCGATCATCAATTGATGGTATAGATACCTCTTTGTTGTTTTCTATACCTTGTTGAGGTAAAATCATTTATTAACAAGGTGGATAAGCCTCCTTGCTCTGAAGCTTTAATTGTGTCTGGGTCAGCCTTTTCTCTTTTGAGAAGCGAAGAGAAAAACAAGAACTAATTTATGCGTTATTTCTCATTCGATCGCCCATTGATAGTACAGGTATCTATATGTTGTTTTCTATACCTAGTACAGGTAAGACCATTCATTGACAAGGTGGATAAGCCTCCTTGCTCTGTAGCTTTACTTGTGTCTGCGTCAACTATTTCTCTTCTGAAAGCCGAAGAGAAAAACAAGAAGTAAGTTGTGCGTTATTTCTTATTCGATGGCCCATTGATGATGTATGCATCTTTCGTTCTTTTCTGTACTTGGGTTAGGTGCGATTATTGATTGACTATGCGCATAAGCTGCTTTGTTCACTATTTTCACTTGTGCTCGCTTCAGTAGTTTCTATTTTAGCTTGAGAAGAGAAAAACAAGAACTAGTCTAGTGATTGTTTCGTAGTATATAATCGATTGACGATATACATATCTATTCATTTTATTTTCTTCTTCACCAAGGTAAGAAAAAATACGTATTTCATTGTGCAGCTATAATGACTTAGTATTTTCGCGTGTAAATTAAGCAAACTTTTCGTTTCCGAGATATGGAGAGAACAACAAGAACTGA